TGTTGTCCTGGTTTCTGGTGTACAGCAAAGTGATTCAGTTATACATATAGGTATCTATTCTTTATCTGATTCTTTTCCATTATAGGTTATTACAAGGTATTGAACATAGTTCCCTGTGCTACAGAGTAGGTCCTTGTTGGTTATCTATTTTATATATAGTAGTGTGTATATTTTGATCCCAAGCTCCTAATTTATCCCTTCCCCCCTTCCTCTTTGGTAAACGTAAGTTTGTCTTCTATGTCTGTTGAGTCTATTTCTGTCTTATATATAAGTTCATTTGTATCATTTCTTTTAGATTCCACATGTAAGTGATATCATATGATATTTGTCTTTCTCTGTCTGACCTACTTCACTTAATAAGATAATCTCTAGGACCATCCATGTTGCTGCCGATGGCATTATTTCTTTTTTTTTTTTTTTGGTGGCTGATTAATATTCCATTGTACATATGTACCACATCTTCTTTATCCATTCATCTGTTGATGGACACTTAGGTTGCTTCCATGTCTTGGCTATTGTAAATAGTGCTGCTGTGAACATTGGGCTGCATGTGTCTTTTTGAGTTAGAGTTTCCTCCAGATATATGCTCAGGAGTGAGATTGCTGGATCATATGGTAGCTCTAGTTTTAGTTTTTCAAAGAACCTCCATACTATTTTCCATAGTGGCTGCACCAATTTACATTCCCACCAACAGTGTAGGAGGGTTCCCTTTTCTCCATGACCTCCCTAGCATTTTTTTTTTTTATTTGTTGTTGTTGTTGCTGTTGGCTGGGCCATGTGGCTTGTGGGATCTTAGTTCCTTGACCTGGGATTGAACCCAGGCCCTTGTCAGTGAAAGCACGGAGTCCTAACCACTGGACCTCCAGGGAATTCCCTCCAGCATTTATTATTTGTAGACTTTTTGATGATGGCCATTCAGGAGTAAAGTATTGTGACCACAGAAATGGGTGGAGCCTGTGTCTTGTTCCTTTGAGCCCAGGAAGCCACTGACCGGTACAGAACACAGGACATCAGGTGGCCGCAACACGGCCAAGGGTAGAGTTGGCCTATGACTATAATAGAAACAGAGTGTAGGGACAGTGCCTCAGGGCTTGAGGCAGGCAAATTATGGCAGCAAAGGTGAGGTTGACTAATGGAATTGCATGAACCAAGCGTCAAATGGGGGCCAGAAAGCAATGAATGGACAGCAAACTCAGTGCAAAATGTTGCAAACTCAGTGCTTCCTCATTTTCCCACAGAGGAAATGGGGTCAATTTCCATTTATATTAGGTGCTGATCCAGAAGTCCCCATTTTAGACCTGAGTTCCTGGAAACAGACTCTGAAACCCTGAGATTAGCATACAGGAGATTTAATGGGGAGTCCTCTTGGGAACAACACCTGTAAGGGCATGAAGGAAGCAGGAGTGGGCAGTAGGAAAAGTTGGTCCACAATGTAGCTGCAACAGAGGCCCCAGCTAATCTTATGGGGAGCTCTGCAGTTGTAATGGCCTATCAGCGTTGTCCCAAATTAAAGCAAGGGGGCAAGTGTTTCTTTCTCCTCAGTATCCAGGCGCTGCATATGAGCTGGCCCAGGAAGGACAGTCCTGAAAGGAGACCAGCTGAGAGCCCCAGATGTCCGGCCTCCTGGTAGATGGTGCAGTGAGCGGCCCTCCATCCTGCATGGGGTGTGTGGACGGCATCCCACAGCACCCACTAACAGTCTCCTCCAGCCCAATGCAGGATGGCCACTGGCTCAGGAGCTCAAAACTGCTGCCTCTTAGGGCTATAATTTTTCTTTTGTCTCATCTTTTCCTACTTTGCTCCTCTCCCCCACCTGCAACGTTCACTTTAACTACAAAAACCTACTCACCACTACCTGACCACACAGTGTGCTCTTGACACCACACCTGCCTTTTCATGTGTGATTTCATCAGTGTAGAATGTCCTTCCTCCCTTCCCTTCATCCAAATCATGCTCTTCTTATAAAGCCAACTTCAAAAGCTACTTGTATTATAAAATTTGACATTGAATCGATTTCTCCTTCATCTGGGGTCCTGAAGCATTTTGTTTGTGACTTTGTTATCCTATCTGTCCTGCTTGCACTGTAGTCGATCTTGTGCTTGTGTTCTCCCTTCTCAGATTATAAATTCCATACATGCAGAGCTCACTCCTTTATCCTATATTCTATCCATTACCTAGCATCCGGTTTGGCACAAAACAGACTCTCAACAAATAGGAATTAATTGCATCAAATGTCCCAAAGTGTTATGAGAGTTTCTTAGGAAGAACCTACCTAAAGATATGAAGACCTTTTGCCATCACCCTGTATTCTTCCTTCTCATGGGAAGCAGGTAACACATCTATTTAATAGAATTTGAGTACCAACTATGGGACAGATCCTGACAGGAATATTTCTTATTATTCTTTTTGTTGTTGTTGTTGTTGAGGTAAAATTCACATACTATAAAACTAATCATTTAAAAATGTGCAATTCAGTAGCATTTAGTACAATCACAATGCTACGCAGCCATCACCTCTATCTAGTTCCAAAACGTTTACATCACCTCCAAAGCAAACCTGCTTCTTTTGTTCTTAAAGAAATTACACCTAGCCTGTGTTCCCCAGAAGCGAGGCATATTGCAACAAGAAAAGGATGGGTGTAATGTCTGAAAACTTATTGTTAAACCCACCTTAAAAAGGGCTTCTGTTGTGAGTGGCACACGTAGGGCAGCTTGCTTGTTCTTTGTGCGGAATCGACATCAAGAGATTTTGGAAGCATAATTTTTTGGTACTTGGGCAGCTGGTGATCATTGGTCCTGATGCCCTCAAAAAAAAACCTTTGTGTAGAAATCAAGCTGTCTTGCTTTCTATGTTTCTGTTACTGAAGGGGAAGAAGGAACTTTCTTTTCAGTGTTCTGAGAGGATTATGTTTGGGTATCACCAGAGGTTTTAAATTCCCATCCTGAGGGGACACCTCCCAACTTTGGAACAAGGGAGGCCCTGAGTGACTGGAGGTGATAAGTGACCCTACCCTCAGGTGGAGGGGTGGTAGCTGTGTGGTCTGCACCGCAGCCTTGCTTAGCATTGTATGTGATGGACAAGGAAGGGACAGTAAAACCCCTTTGGCCAGTCTTTGTCTTTTGGTGTCCTTATTGGGGTTTTGGGTTTTTTTTTTTGTTTTGGCCATGCTGTGTGCCATGTGGGATCTTAGTTCCCCAACCAGGGATCAAACCCTTGCCCCCTGCAGTGGAAGCTCGGAGTCTTAACCACTGGACTGCCAGGGAACTCCCTCGGTGTCCTTAAATTTCTGTCTCCTTGTGATTAAATGAATGAAATTACAAGTTCCCTCAGGAAAGGGGAGGCAGTCACTGCCTGGAAAGTTCAAAACCACACTTTATCTATGACTAAGGAACATAGATGCTTTCAGTAATCATCGTATTTCTTTTTTTCAATCACTCTGAACTATATTCTGCTTTACAGATGCGAGAAAACTGAGGCTAAGAGAGGAAGGTAATGTGGTCAGACTCACAAGGAAACACAGAGGTAGGATTTGCAGACCCTGCCATATGGTGTGGAGGTTTTCTAAGGCAACACTGCCTAGGAACCCGGCCCACCCCCACTCCTTATCCATTCTAACCTCCAAGCGTTGCCGTGACAACACGTAGCAACTCCTTTCCCCATCCCAAGTGGTGATCTTAACAGTGAACCCTTTAATTCTTCCTCTCGGGGACATCCATCTCATCTATGACATGTAGCAAAGATGATTAATAGAGACAATGGGAATATTAGTAGCTCAGATTCTCATCCCCATCGGGAGACCAAACGCAAACATAACCAGGAGAAACTATACACAGGTTTATTTTATTGTATTTTATTGTATTTCTACAAAGGCAGCATCAAATTACCCTGTTAAAATCACTTCTGAAAATAAATTTTCTGGAAATGCATTCTTTATAAATGTAAAGCGTGCAATAATGTGTAAATTTACAGAAACGTTTTAAACTGGTTAACTCAGGTAATAGTCTGTAAAATAGGTTTTGTTTCTGGAGATAGTACAGGTATCCCTAGACTTTGTTAAAGTCTTTACTTAATTCTGATTAAGGCTGTACGAACAGAGATTTATCTTAATGGTGTAAAATGATTAATTACATAATTAAAATGACTTGTAAGAACTTTTGAGTCATCCAAAAGTTAAAAAGCAGGGCCAATATTTTAAAAGAGAGGACGACACCTTGGAAAGTCATTTTTATGCCACATCAGCAATAACTTTTAGTGGATTATTCTTGCCTCACTTGATGGCAGGCACTTCAAAATGATTAAGGAAAAATTATCACACTTGATTAGTCCTCATCATTTTTGGTTTCGAAGGAAATGTTTGTAAATGAGTAAAAGACCCCAAATAAATGTGTCTGGGCCTATGTATTATTTTTTTAATTTGAATATTCATCTGTTATAATTAAAACAAAACATGTCCACAAGCATATGAAGCTGTGTTTGGATTTCCACAAGTATGTTTAGATTTGTTAATGCCTCGTATTTCATGTTTGAAAATCAGACCATGCTAATGCCTTTTTCTCCTTATGATTGTAATCAGCATTGAAAGCTTGGCTTCCATTAACAAATAATCCTTTACAATAAAAGAATCAAGATCTAAGTTCATTACTTCACTATTCGTTTCTGCAGACACCTGGCTTCATGGAGTATACCATGCTTCAGATATATTCTTAGAAAAACACTGGGACAGCATGCCGAAGTTTTCTATATTGTTTCACAAAAAGCTAGAAGTTAATTAAAGGGCTCATTTTCACAGCAAGAAGTAGAGATTTACTCCCCCAGTCAATTCTCTACAGTCCCCTCTAGAGAATCCCATGAGTTCAGGTTAGAAGGGACTGGTCTTCCCTTTCCAAAATCATCCAATTCCTCATTGAAACACTGCTCAGAATCCTCCTCGGGTTTACTCATCCCTGCAGGAAAGCCTGGTGCGAGGAAGGACACCTTGGTCCGGGTGAACTCTGGTCACACTGAACTTGTACTTGGCAGGAAGAAAAGCTGACTGCAGGGTGAGAAGCCCTACTTTTTGCAGTGGATATAATTCTTCCCGGTACTTGTTCAGGAAACTCTTATTACAATACAATTTTAAATAAGCTCTTAATTTGAGAAGCTTATTAACTCTGCTTTTTGCATTTTCATCTTTTACAGAGCATCGTGGAGATCGTGGTCCACCGTGGACTGTGTGTAAGATGAGCTGGGGGTGTCGGGGTAAATCGGGAGGAACCTACAGTACTGACAGAGCACCAAAGTGCCCCGGCAGGTTTTGAAGAGCTGTACGATGTACTTGCGAAATTTCTGCCCCAGGAAAAAGTAGATGACCGGATTAAGGCAGCAGTGAACAAAAGCCAGGGTCTCCGTGGCCTGAATGGCATAGTCCAGGTGTCTCTCAAAGGTGCAGTCTTGAAGGACCTCCAGCTCCACCAGGGTGTCCAGGAAGAGCACCACGTTGTAAGGGGTCCAGAACCCCAGGAAGAGGACCACCACGGCAAAGATCATCTTCACTGCCTTGTTCTTCTTCTCATTTTTGCAGTGCTGCAAGGTCCTAATGATCATGGAGTAGCAGAACAGCATGATCCCCAAGGGGATCACCAGCCCTAGAACGTTGATCTCCAGGGAGCTCAGAACCTTCCACCTCGTGGAGTTGAAAGAATACTTGGTTTTGCAGTAGGTGTGGTTGTGCTCAGTATAACACGTGCTGAACGCAAGGCCTGGGAGGGAGGCGAGCACAGCCACTGCCCACGTGGCCACGCTGGTGATGACCCCGTAAGTCAAGGTCCTCGCTCTCAGGGAGAAGACCGCGTGCACAATGGCCAGGTACCTATCGATGCTCATGAGTGTGATGAAGAATATGCCGCTGTAGAAGCCCACCAGGTACATCCAGGAAACTAGCTTGCAGAGGCCGAGCCCGAACACCCACTGGTCTGCGGCATAGTAGCCCCAGAAAGGGAGCGAGAGCACAAAGAGCAGGTCTGAGATGGCAAGGTTGAGCAGGTACACGTCGGTCATGGACTTGAGCCGCTTGTACTTGAACAGGACCAGAACCACCACAGAATTTCCAAGCAGACCAAACAGAAAGACCAAGGAGTAGAGGGGGGGCAGGAAGAGCTCCCCAAATGCCTTGATACCTTCCTTGGTGCAAGGTTTAGGGATGCTTTCATAAAGATAATAATTGTTATAGATGCTTTCATCCAGGGTGGTGTCTGCTATACCCGTGGGGTTCATTTTCAGATTTACAGGCTTCTCACGGCAGGTCTGAGCCCAACCAGAAGAATCTAATGAGTGGAAGAGCCAACAAGATTTCTATCAGAACAAAAGCAAATCAGAACGGTGCTGGGTACAGAGCACAACTGCTTCGTATTTTGCCCAGATCATCATACACTCTTCCCAACCTTCCCACATTGAAGGGCTCAGGTCCTTGAACTGAAGGGCAGTGCAGCCGAAGTGAAATAATCCTGCCCTTTGGAGGCAGATTCCAAATTACAGCTCTGCCACTTTTCCTACCCCTCTGCTGGGAGCTCTGGTTCTCCTGTTTGTAAGCGGGGGTAGTAAAACCTCTTTATCAACAAGAGGTTTTTCTTTTTTTTTTTTTTTTTTGAAGATTTTTTTTTCAATACAGGGACCATTTTTAAAGTCTTTATTGAATTTTGTTACAATATTGCTTCTGTTTTATGTTTTTTGGTTTTTTGGCCGTGAGGCATGTGGGATATTAGCTCCCCGACCAGAGATCAAACCTGCATCCCCTGCACCAGAAGGCGAAGTCTTAACCACTGGACTGCCAGGCAAGTCCCAACGATGAGGTGTTTTTCAAAAATATATTTCTGAAAGTTAGTCTGGCATTACTCACTCGCAAGAATGACAAGACTAGCTGACGTGCCCAACAGAACTTTATCCAGGGCCTTTCTGACATGAAAGCCAAAAACAAAAAATTTAAAAAAGATTTAAAAATCTATGCATGTTTCCCCTTAAGACTGTAACACCAAAAATTCAGTGATGACTTAGGTAAATCATCAGGCTAGAAGGGAACCAGGTTGGCCTCTTGCCTTTATATAAAAATTCTGGGGGCTTCCCTGGTGGCACAGTGGTTAAGAATCCGCCTGCCAATAAAGGGGACACGGGTTCGAGCCCTGGTCCAGGAAGATCCCACATGCCGCGGAGCAACTAAGCCCGTGTGCCACAACTACTTAGCCTGCGCTCTAGAGCCCAAGAGCCACAACTACTGAGCCCACGCGCCACCGCTACTGAAGCCCGTGCGCCTACAGCCTGTGCTCCGCAACGAGAGGCCACCGCAATGAGAAGCCCGCGCACCGCAACGAAGAGCAGCCCCCGCTGGCTGCAACTAGAGAAAGCCCGCAGTCAGCAACGAAGACTCAATGCAGCCAAAAATAAATAAATTAATAAATAAATCTATTTAAAAAAAAAAATTCTGGGACTTCCCTGGTGGTCCAGTGGTTAAGAATCCACCTTCCAATGCAGGGGATGTGGGTTCGATCCCTGGTCAGGGAACTGAGCTCCCACATGCCGCTGGGCAACTGAGCCTGCACACCACTAGATTGCCCACATGCCACAATGAAGCTCCTGCGTGCCACAACTAAGACCCAATGCAGCCAAATAAATAAATATTAAAAAAAAAAAAAAAAAAGAATAAAAGAAAAGGGGGAAAGGACCAAGAAAATATTTTTTTAAAAAAATTCTAGGGGCTTCCCTGGTGGCGCAGTGGTTGAGAGTCCACCTGCCGATATAGGGGACATGGGTTCATGCCCCGGTCCGGGAAGATCCCATGTGCCGTGAAGCGGCTGGGCCCGTGCGCCACGGCCGCTGAGCCTGTGCATCCGGAGCCTGTGCTCTGCAACGGGAGAGGCCACAGCAGTGAGAGGCCCACGTAAATGCACAAAAAAAAAAAAAAAAAATCTAATTCCTCCTGTGTGCTTTGTACTTCATAGGATTTCAGAGCATGTTCAGTCATATAGTACATTCAATCCCAGTCCTGTGCTCCTGTTCCCACAACCCCCTCCAACAAACACCTGGTACTCGAAGCCAAATAAGCATACTGAGCCATGGTGTAGATGACTCGTGAAAAGACTCAGAGAAGTTAAATGCCTTCTGAAGGCCACACAGCCATGTAGAGAACTTGTTCCTCGGGCCCCAAGTCCCAGTGATGTGCTGGTGAACCAGGTCTGGGAGGGCAAAGAGGTGCGGGGGAGTGGGGGGGCTCTGATTTATGACTCTTGCTGGTTTCCGTGGTATAAATACTCCCACCATGGCCAAGTTCAAGCCACCAACCGCCTCAAAAATTCCTGAAGATTTAACAATCAGCTCCTGAGAGCTGGTGGGGGTGGGCCCTAGCACGCCACACCCAAGCCCCATGTTCCCTCTGGAGCACCTTCTTAGTTGGAACACACCTAGCCTCTCAGGCTGGGTGGCTGGCCACTCCTGGGCCAACCTGACACTAATGCAGCAAATGTGTTTTCCAGGCCCTGTAGAAGGTTGCAGTATTCAGTTGGGTAAATTGAGGGAAATTTTTGGCCTTTTCATCGAAACCACATGTAAAAAATCAATCTTGGGCTTCCCTGGTGGCACAGTGGTTGAGAGTCCACCTGCCGATGCAGGGGACGCGGGTTCGTGCCCCAGTCCGGGAGGATCCCACATGCCGCGGAGCGGCTGGGCCCGTGAGCCATGGCCACTGAGCCTGCGCGTCTGGAGCCTGTGCTCCGCAACGGGAAAGGCCACAACAGTGAGAGGCCCGCGTACCGCAAAAAAAAAAAAAAAATCAATCTTACACACTGAATCCTATCAGAGTGGGTATTAGCAGGACAGATCTAGAAAAGGCACATCATAGCCAGAAATAAAATCTCTACCTCACCAACCACCCTCATTTCTTATGCATGGCATGGCCACTGAGCCTGCGCGTCTGGAGCCTGTGCTCCGCAACGGGAAAGGCCACAACAGTGAGAGGCCCGCGTACCGCAAAAAAAAAAAAAAAATCAATCTTACACACTGAATCCTATCAGAGTGGGTATTAGCAGGACAGATCTAGAAAAGGCACATCATAGCCAGAAATAAAATCTCTACCTCACCAACCACCCTCATTTCTTATCGAAATTGGCAGATGAAGAGGTTAAAACCTTCTTAAAGTTATTCACACGTCCACATGTGAATCGGAGCAATGCAGGAGGCTTTCCAACTCAAGGCCACCTCCTCTTGCATCCTTCTTAGTGGCACCCTGATGTTCCTTATCAAAACCCTTTCACATTGTTCGATAATTCACATCTATTCCCCATCTCCCACCCTGACCACCACACACCCAAACATCCAAGCTATGTGTTTCTCAAGAGAGAGGTTTTGGTTTATTCCTGCAAACAGATACTGAAGACCTGGGGCATCTCAGGGTCTCAAAAAAAAAAAAAAAAAAACTGTGTTAAATGATTATCAATTCTAGTTAAATGAATAACAATTCTAGCCTTCCTCCATAACTTTACCAGTGAAAATGAAAGGAATAAGAGAGACTGAGGTGTTAAGAAATTATCGGAAGAAACGAAAGTCAACACAGCTGGTAAATGTCTGGAATTATTCTGCAGGCCTTATTTGGCAGGTGTTTCTTGACCTGGGAGTCTTGATAGAAGCCAGAAGCGGAAAAGTGTATATGTTGAATGAAGATTAGCTGTGTGTTCTGAGCCTGTGGCTTAGGCCACATGTGTGCAGGAGGAGAGCCCTGTATGTATGTGAGAGCCAGTCAGATGAGGGCTGGGAGGGTAGGTTGTGTGTGAGCTGCAGGACAGGTGTCAACAGAACGACCAGCAGGATGACCAGGATGCCTGAGTGATAGGGTTAGCTGTGTGGCTGGGCAGCTTTCAGCGCTTCCAAAGTCCACACACCTGTGGACAAAGCAACGCAGGGCCTGAGGCCCTGGGAACGCAGCCCCTCACCCGCACCCCCCTAGCCCCCCGCCACGCTGGCCCCTTACCTTGCGTTTCTGAAACTGGCTCCAAGGCAGGTCTGCGAGGCAGTGCCTGGCTTGCTCAAGAAGCACGGCGCTAAGAACGACAGGAGGCTTTGAAGGGCTCGTGGCTTCCTGTGAGCACCAGCTCTGTTCCTCATCCATCTACGCTGAGTTCAAGTGGGGTTTTCTGATAGAAGTAAGAAGCAGAAAATGAGTGAATCTTAGCTTGGGTTCAGGTTAAACTCTTAGTCACTCATTTCCCCAAACTGAAAGCTGGGAAGGTTTGCTCTCTGCAAGATGAGGGAAGTTAAGTTTTTCAAGAGAGAAACTTTTAAATGTTTTAAAATTTATTTGTTGTATTTTTAATTTAAATTTTTTCATTTTAGTGGGCTGTTTGTTATTTCCCCATCATGGTTGTACAGTGGCCAGCAATCAAGATACTCAGTGTTCTCTAAACAGTGGGATCTGAGGAGGTCGGAGTGAGAGGCCAGATTTATTTAAGAATAAGGATAGTCAGGAGGAGAGAAAAGTGTATCCAAATGTCTGGCAGTGACGTGGAGGCCCTAGTCAACCACATGCAATAAACATCCTCAGCCTGGTGTAAAGTGACATGACAACAAAGCTCTAAGCCCTTTTCCCAACAGGAAGAGCCCTCCCCCAAGCCCCTTCCACTGAGAAACTGCAGAGCTTCACCTGACAGTGCTCCTGGCTGACAGCTTCTTCAGGTTCACGTACCCATCATAGCCAAGGAGCTGACATCAGTCCTGAGTCTTTTCTGTATGGTATCCTGCCAGCTTCTGCCAGCTCCCAGCCATTTCCTTCTATGTGTCCACAGTTGCTTGGCTCTTTGGTTTAGCTTACAAGAGCCACAAATGTCATTTTTCCTGAGGAATTTGCATAAATAAGAACTGAAAAATTGAGCTAGAGTGGTGTTAATCAACCTTTTTTTTTCCATTATCACCCCTCCCAAGGAGTCTTTCTGGATTTTTTTTTCCTAGTCACCTCCCCATGATATATTTTAATACCACAGATAAATAGGGAAGTTCCCTGGTGGTCTAGTGGTTATGATTCAGTGGCCCGGGTTCGATCTCTCATCTGGGTACTGAGATCCCACAAGCTGCTCGGTGCAGCCAAATTAATAATAATAATAATACCACAGATAAATAGTAAATCTGCTTATGTTTCACACATATATATGCAAATATATATGCTTTATATATATATAAGAGTAAGGTTTGTTTAGGGTGGGGGGAGTTGCTTCTGGCTTCTAATGGGAAAAGACCAGAAATGCTGCTTAAAATCCTACCGCACACAGGCCAGCCCTCCACAATACAGTCATCCAGCCCAGAAGGCCAGCAGTGCTGAGGCTGAGGACTCCTCAGCTAGAGTAATATTCCCACCTGTGAACTGTGGAACCAGATTCATAGAAATCCAGTGAAAAGGAAATAGACAAATAACCTTAGGGAATGCTGGGCTTGGATTCAGGTTAAATACAGTTCCTTACAGCAGTGCTTTCCAGTGCTAATAGTATCATGAACTCTGGAAGCAGATGTAGAGTAAAAATGTCCCAGATATATTTTGTTGCCAGAGCTGACACCAGATCCTTGCTCAAAACCCGCCAACCCCTCCCTTGGACAGGAACTAACATATATCTTTAAGTCACAGGGTCTGGAGACAAAAAAGGGGAGTTATAGGAAGAGAAAAACAAAAGCCCAGATAGAACCAGCTGGAACCAAGATGAATCTGACCTCCAGCAACCCCTGAGCCTCATTCTATGCTGATTTCACTACATTAGCTACTAAATGACACCCCTGCTCGAGGCTATGACCCAAAGTTGATCCACGTGTGCGAGAAGCTCATCCGTAAACAAAGTTCCCACTTCTCCATTCTCAGGCCATTTAATAAAGCTTGCACTGCATCAATCTCAGCTTCGTTTTTGTTTCTGGCTGCACGAACCTGAAACTTCCCTGCTGAGGCAGGGGGCCTCGGCTGGGCTAGGGCCTGAGCAGGGGTCCATACGACCTGATTCGGTAACAATTTGACCAGTAAATCCATGCCCATTATACATAGTAACTTATTTTTAGAAATGCAGAGCCTGAGGAAGTTTCCACCACGGAATTAGAGGCCTTGAGGGACGAGTTACCCTGGGCAAGACCATCTGAGCCTGTTGCGTAAGTCTCCATGGACCCTCCATGGTCGGGGGAGAAGTGGTAAGGTCTAGAACAGATGATATCTGGATGTCCAAATTGTCATCAGTGGTAGTTGGTCATTGTGGGTCTGGATGGTCCCTTAAAGCTAGTTGGTGCTCCCTTGACTGACTGGCCATGTGACAGACACCTGGCCCCATGAGTGGGGATAAGCCCAAGCTCCAGGGTCCATGTTAGCTAAGGGCACTTGCTTTTTGAGGCCTGCTCAGTCTGGGTTTGGATCTCAGGGCCACCATGTACTAGCTATACGAACCTCAATTTTCTCATCTGTAAAAAAGAGTGATAAAGCCTGAGGATTGTGGGAGGATTAATGACCTAATGTTTGTAAAACACTTAGCATGGTGCCTGGTACAGATATGTGCTCAAAATGGCACCAGCTGTGAAAATTAGTAGGATAAATAAAACACACAGGAATAGCTTTCTCTCTTGAAATGGGTGAGCCTGGCATGTTGCCCTTAGCCATAACTAGGAATTCAGGAAATATTTTTATTTAGACGCAGTGGGCCACAATCAATTTCTGAGTTGCTGTTCAGGTTAAAAGCAGGTTTCAGGGCTTCCCTGATGGCGCAATGGTTAAGAATCCGCCTGCCAATGCAGGGGACACGGGTTAGAGCCCTGGTCCAGGAAGATCACACATGCCGCAGAGCAACTAAGCCCGTGCGCCACAACTACTGAGCCTGAGCTCTAGATCCCGCAAGCCACAACTACTGAGCCCACGTGCCACAACTACTGAAATCCGCACACCTAGAGCCCGTGCTCTGCAACAAGAGAAGCCACGACAATGAGTAGCCCACGCACCACAACCAAGAGTAGCCTCTGCTCACTGCAACTAAAGAAAGCTCGTGCACAGCAACGAAGACCCAACACACCCAGAAATAAATTAATTAATTAATTTAAAAAAAAAAAAGCAGGTTTCAGGTTTCCAAGTTGCAACGGTTACTGCCCTGGAGAAAGTCGGTCTTCAGGTTTGCTAAGTAATAATGATAGTGTCCTGGAGAAACACTAAATAGGTTTTCCCTCCAATAAGGGATTCAAAACTAAACAATATCCCCACCCACAAAAAAAAAAAAAAAAAAAAAAAAAAAAAAAAGAATAAAGGATGAAATTTTAAGAATCCAGAGAAGCCTGCTTTCGGACCCGGAGCCATCTGGGAGCCCCTAATTGTTGCTCCAGGTTCTTTCAGGTGTACGTGTCTGTTGTTCCCAGTGCTCTACTGGGCTAGAGAAAGAGGAGGAACCTGTCCTGAATCCTCGCAGTGAAAATGAAGGAAAGCCCGAGAACCAAGGCAAGATGGAAAACAAAGAACAGCCACTGGATGCAGGAAAGCTGGGAGTAGCTTGTACTGTGGAAGACAAGGAAAAGTTAGAAAACAAGGGAAGGGCAGATCTCAAAGGAAAGACAGAAGATGAGGAAGTACTAAAGGATAAGGAAAAGCCAGAGAGTGAGGCAAAGCCAAAAGAAGGAAAACCAGAGAGTGAGGGAAAACCAGTAAGTGAGGGAAAGCCAGCGAGCGAGGGAAAGCCAAAAGAAAAGCCAGCCAGCGAACCAAGGGCTGCAGGAAAGCACCCAGCTGGGAATGATGTACCCAGGAAGGCCAAAAGAAAAACCACCAAGGGGCTGGCTCAGTATCTCAAGGAATACAAGGAGGCCATACACGATATGCATTTGAGCAATGAAGAGATGATAAGAGAATTTGACGAGATGGCCAGGGTGGAGGATGAGGTGAAGAAAACCAGATAGAAATTGGGGGGGTTTATGTGGATGCAAAAAAGTTTACAGGACCCCTTCCACCCGAGGGGCCCAAGGGAACTCAGGGGTGGCTGCAGGGCCCCACAAAGGGGCTTTGAAGACATTCCTTTTGTGTAGTGCCCCTGGCAGGCATTTGCAAGGCCTTGTGCTTTATTTAACCTTACGCTAATACTATGCTTTAGGTGTCACTCTCTTTATCCAACTGCAGCCCTGTGTGTTTCAGTAGCAGATTTTCATCCATTGCATGGAAAAATGTTTATGGTACATTGTAAAATGTTTGAAAAACCAGTTTTCAGAACCATATATACGGCATCAGTCCATTTTTGTAAAACTACAAAGATACTTACCTAGTGATCCATGTACAGAAAAAACTCGGAAAACTGTGTCTACTAAAAGATTAACAGTGGTTTAAAAAAAAAAAAAAAAGAATCCAGAGAAGGGAGGTGGTGCACTCAAGGCAACACAGCCAGAGACACAGTCAGGGCCAACGCCTACCCTCCTGACATTTTCATGGACAATATCTTTTATTGAGCTAAGTTTCTGAAACCTGACCAGAGAGAAGGTGACTAACAAAAAAATACCCAGAGCAAACCCTCCCCCAAAGCAAGGTGGTATGTCAAATGCTGCACAGCACAGACCTTCAGCAAGAAACAAAGCGCTAGCGTGAGCCTACAGCGCCCCATGGTGGACCAAGCCTTATTTCATGACCAAAGACATCAAAATACAATCCCCCAGGTACCGTAGCCACCCAGCGTGTCTGACACTGGAAGGCAAAAACTCCCAAGGCCTTCAGGAGGAGCTCCATGGACCTCTGCTGCAGAGCAGAGGTGATAAAGCATCCAGAATTTGGTGTCAGACCTGTTACTTACAGCTTAAAATGAGAGAAGGCTGTCAGGCAGGCCACACAGGGGTTGCACCCAAGGACAGAGTAACAGCAAGCTAGAGCTGTAGGGGGCAACTTATGTATGGCAAGCAGGGTGCGGTTAGTTAGTTTCCAAGAGTTCTCTGTTGATTGGCTAAGTTGAAAAACTTTGTAGGCTTGGAGCAGAGGAGCTGTCCCTAGTCATCTGGTTCCCAGTCCCCAGGACAATTAGGGCTGGTTCCTAGTG